TAAGTTTGTCATACCAACTGAACAGGTGTACGTTACAAAATTATTGCTAATGAACATAGTATTTTGTGAGCTACAGTGATTTCATTGGGAGATACTGTGATTATTTGAAAATAAGATCCTGTTTATCATAAATGTTAATCAGGAATTTATGCCTTGTCAAAGTGTAACGCTATTCAAAATAACAATTGAATTATTTATTCATGTTAATAACTGAAATATCCTACTGATTTTGTTCAGTTGTAGTATTTTGATAAGTTATAGACAACAATTGTGTACAAAGGGAAGTAATAAAACAAACTGAATAACTTGATCAAATAACAGTCCAGAATTCACAGTAAACTCCTAACAGTTCAAACTATTGGTAAATACTGCTTAAAAATAGCACCCTTAGACAAAATAGTTTTTCACTATCTGAAGTATGAGCTGAAGATGTTGTTCAGAAGAACAATGAAAGCTCCACAACCAAGCCATCCAGCTCAGGGCACGAAACACCACCAAAACTGTCATTCTCTTTAAGAATATTAAAGATTCCCATTTAACTACATTTCAACGGAGATGTGGCCAGCGATACTCTGTAGGACAGATTAACATAAGTAATTATGAGAATATTCTACGCAGCCAAACTTGCGCAGACCTTCTCAACTCGACCAGCGATGTCTACCCCAACGAAGGATAAGTTGCTTGAGTTGGCCTCTTCTATGAGCATTTACAAAATGAGCTGCTCCTGTGGAGATAGCTCTATCGGTATCATTGTTATCTTATAAACGAACCATTGTGTCGAACAGAAGTTTGATACATAATTGTCTATTTTCATATCGTTACATGCATTCACATGAGACTAATTTAAAATGACATGGAATTTTTAATTCATGTTTCTTCATATTATTATCAGAATTCGATTTTCTCATTTAAAAGTGAAATCATCTGACAATTTGATGCAGGCTGTTTAAAAATAACAAATACAAGATAATAAAGATTGGAAAGTATTCAGATCAGATAAGTGCCACCGATTCACGTGCATTATGTGATTTAACAATACTCACAAGTAATAAAACAGAATTTCAAATTATGATTCCCCATTCCATTATATTTCTACACAGCTAGGAATAAGAATGTAAAACGTATTTATGGCGGATATTTTGAAAAGTTCAAAACTAGTAACTTGGTCTTAGGAGTAGATGTATGGATCATGCAACTGTCCAGTACCAAGCCTACAATGACATCAATGTCACACAAAAACTAAACAGTAAATGTCAGAACTTATGCATTAATAACATAATTAGACTGCTTTCGCAACTGGAAAAGGTACTGCTATGTAGTCGGCAGCCTTGGATTTAGATTCCGTGCTAGTCAACACCTCTTAATACTGTTTATGTGTGATCTAATTAATATAAAGCTATTCATGCAAATAATAACATAAACAGGAGAATGGATACACAAATAAGTTAACATTATTAGTGAAGTTCAGTTTACCTTTTATCGTTTTTTTCCATTTATTTATATACATGGGAAATTGAGAGAGAATTCGTTTCATTTTCATTTAAGCAGAACAATTATCTACCTACTTAAATTATTCAATCCAATCAAAATTACTCATCTAAATAATCGAGATTGGATATTATTAGTTCTGAGAATAAACAAATATCATTGAGATGATAAAATATTAACCACGAACTAAATGGATTCATTATTACTTCCTTACAGACTAATGAATATTAGAAGAAATATAAATTATGATGAAATTAAGCAAAACGGCTGTACCAGGGTATATTACAACTCATATTAATCGGTCATCTGTTCAAACAAATAAAATATTTCAGTGAATGAAATTTATTGTTTGGTGATTAACTCTAAAATGTTATCACAAAAATATATGACGATACTACTGATGAACATAAGTTTGTAAAGTGAATAGTTATTCCACACCAGTCAGTTCACCTAATGGATTTTATGCGAAACATTTTCTTTACAATTAACGAATACGAAATGCTTAAAATGAAGTGATATCAGCAGGTTGATTCACAGAATTTAATGGAATAAATATATCAATAAGAAGCAAAAATGGATACCTTGTAAACCCCCAATAGACACTTCACATTGTAGCTACCGGAATTTAGAGAAAAATCAGTTTATGAATTTGACAAAAGTTAGTTTTTTATGAAATTTTTTTAATTTGTATGTTGTAAATATGTTCATCATGAATGAAAACTGTCACTGTCTCCTTCTCATATTCTTAAGAATCTTTGAACATACAAGTGAGAAACGTGTGCATTATTAGCATTTTCCTAAGTAGCCCAACATGTTGTATTTATGCCTATTCGCTACACTCGTAGCAAAATGTTAAGCGAGTACATCGATATATTCACAAAATGGTTTTAATCCCATAATAATACTATTCCAGGGGAATTGAGCAAGTATTTTGTTATTTGTATTGAAGTTTGATTGCTTTGCGCGTTGACCACCTCGTATAGGATCGAAATACGCGCTCTTCATATCCTGGTATGATAAAAAATACCACAGCTGCCCAAATTTATTGTGTTGACTCTTCATACAACTTTAGTTTGAGTGAATTTTATGATAAATAAATAATGTGCGAATTCAAAGTGTATTTTATAACTATTTAAATATAACCCTTATCTATTAATTGTTTTCTTTCATAGTTACGTAAAATTTAAAAGCATATACAATATGTTTCCAGTGTAAAACTTAGTTTCAGAACATTAAAATTCACATTCAGTTTATCGGTTACAAAGAAGACAAAAACATTTGTGTAATTTCAAAAAAAAACGAGTATTATCAAAGCATTTAAATTTTACTGGTACACCTTACAACCAGAAAAGCGAAAAATACTTTTATTTTCACATACTTGTCATTTTCTTCATCATATAACACCAGTGATAATTTTATTAGTATTAACGGTTGAAAATTATCATTTCAAATTGCTCAGCTACAGTTATAATATCTCTCATACTTCAAATTTATGTAATAATCTTCAGTTACTCATCAAATCTATAAAAATAGTCAACTTAGCCGGTTAGCTTGTAAATGCCTTCGTCCAACACAACCGATCTTCCAATATTTTAAAATCATATTTCCAAATAAATGAGCACTCATTTCGCCCCCAGTCATTCTAAAAAATACCTAATATTCTACAAATATTTGCTAAACTGTGGAAGACTTAATTGGTTATGTTATCAATTGAAAGTAATGATAATATACATATGCGTACTGGATTGTTCAAATATTTTTATTATGTAGTCATATGGATTTACGCGTTTAGTTAAATTAACCTGAATGATGTCTTCTAAATTTACTTCACTATTACCAACCAAATATATAAATAAAATATTTGATGCACAAATCTCACTTCATCAAAGGATAGATAGACCAGAAGGAAATTGTGCAAATTATTATGGTTCTTTCTTGTATAAATTATAAAATCACTAAGGATTGTAAGTACCTTTCCTTTTTCACCCCACACCGCCGATGCAAACGATTCCAGTTCGCGGAACGTTATTCCTAGTCGCCTGAAACCCTGCTGAAAACTACATGTTGGAGCTGTTGAAGTTCGAACCTTGAGTCAAGTAGGGCAACAGGCTTCCTTATCTATGATACGCATACAAGATCCTAACAAAATCATTAATTTGAGTTCACCTTGTCCAAATAAAATACCAACTCAGTTTACGCTCCGTGTATCTGGAAGCCTTGCTGTTACCTCACTGGTGTAGGTATAGCATTGAGTCCTAGGGCAAAACTAGTTCTCTTAGACAGGATCCCGGCAGGCAGTCGCTTGTGCGTTGTTCGACTAAACGAGACAAGGGACTCGGGAAGATAAGGACACCTGTCGTTGTCTCTTCGTCGTATCTGCCTATGCCCCACTGACTGCAGTTCAAGATTATTCTCATAAAATACTTGAAATGACAATTGAATTCCCAACGTACATTTTATTATTGTAAATATGTATTTAGTGAATTATAATCTCTTAACTACAATGTACTACATAATTTGTTTATAAAAACTTGTCATTTCCATTCTTTCATCATTCATTTCCCACTAAACTCCGAAGTCAAATTATACTGCAGAATTTTTAGTTTTAATGAGAAGTTACCTATTTACAAAGATATAATTGATAATAGTTTTATTATATTTCAATATTAGTGTATGACATGTAATAAGTGAAAAAAACACGCTTTAGTTTTCACTATCAAAACTACTATCGATATCCGTGATATTTATTGTACACAAATAATTATTTGACATTATCATTTCTAATCAAGAATAGAATGAGAATTTTGGTAGTAATAATAACAGTACTAACAGTAACGTTACGAATATGATGAGATCTATAAAGTATTAACTTATGACAACATGCTCACTAATGTATAATATTCCAATAGAATTGGAGTTATGACTGCTTTTCATGTGACAAAAATCATTAACGATAATTTTCTTATAAGATTCGACAGTGTTCAAGTTAATTTCTTGTTGATGAATTTATAGTAATATTATGCTTATAGTAAATGATTCACATATGCTAATAAACAACAAATATGAACGTTATGTTAGAATGTGTCATGAATAAGGATATTATAAAAAAATCATTTAAGTTTTAAAAACAATAGTAAAATGCCGATTAATGGATGACAAGTAATTATGTGGTGCGCGCTACTTATAAGTAGTATATGACGCGAGTGAAAACTTAATGTCTGGTAGCAGAAGATGGGGGAATATCAAGAAAGGAAGAGTGGGAACACAAAGGAATTTGTATGAAACGCATGAACAGTGAAATGTCAGACAATCGATTGATGTTTTGCAAATTAACGGTTTACGATATGGTTTTGCTATTTTACCAATTAACTCTGTAATTTTCGCTAAATACAATTCGGTTGCCCTCACCTGTGTTCTCCCTCACTACAATTATACGATTAGGCTGAATAGTTACTTCTCAAATGATCGAACGATTGATATAAGGCTCATGAATAATTTCAAAATCAAAAACGCGACAATTATTCGAAAGAACAAATTTTTGTGAAAACAACATAGCATGCTCATACACAAAACAATGGACTCATGAGTAAAAGGTGTTTAACAAACAAATAAGTGAAATATATGACAGTTGTAGGTCATCACTGACTTCAAACTTTTTTTTGGATAGTGGTTAAATGTCACATGAAACTAGTAATCACCTGTTCTATTATTCTCAGAACATCAGTCAAAAGAACATCGTGCATACAAAATAATGTAGCAAAATGTTTTACATTTAGTAAATTGCTTTTAATTTGAAAAAGGATAATTTCACCAGTACATACTGATATCTACAATATTTACAAAGGAATGAGAATTATAATATATTTTCAAGTTATTCGTCATGCATAGGCATTATTGTTAACAGTACAATAGTGTAGGTACAAATGAATCAAACGTACAACATATAATGAGTCATATTGAACATATTCAACTTTTTAACATAAATGTTTTGATTCCATGGAATAATTACAGTGTCCCATCAGAGAAATAGTATTTTTAAGAGGATATGATCTTGACGATGAATTATACTTTTTGTACATGTTAAGCGATTCATTGAGGAATTTTGTTTTTTTCAAACGATTTGACGGAATTGATATTCTGGAATTAAAACAAAAAAAAGGACGAAGCACTTTGTCACCTATATTCATAATGATAACAAGAAAGATGATAAGTTTGAATAATACTGGTTTATCTAACTGGATAAGTTGAAGTTTGCAGAAGATCTCTAAGATGAATCGAAAAACGGTAAAACGTTGAAACAAGCAATAGTAAACTTACATAGAACTACGCCCAGCAAATATTGAGTATAACTATCAAACTACAGAGAAATCGAATCTGTACAAACAATACATAACAGCGATCACTAGTAACGAGACTTAAACTTTAATGTGAGAAACCATGATAAATAAACGGATAAACTTCATCAGTGAGGTTTCACCGAATGAGAACTGCTTCGAATAATGTCTTTACCGAAATTATGTTTTGCTTATATAATAAATGACATAAAATAGTGGGAGTTCAAGTTTACTTACTGATCATTAGCTGCCATGAGACAGCTAAATGTATGCTATTTCTCCCTCCAATATTGTTTGGATTGCCCTACATCTGTAGGGGCTTCGGTTTTTAGTCTTTTCTTATATAATTCAAAGCCTTTTTGGAGGATCCTTGACCCTTTAGAATTAATTGTATGACCGAATTCTATTCTGTCATACTATCGCTGACTTGATCTCTAGTTTTTTTCAGGTCTTATGAGAACTTAGGAATATGTTCTAAGCAAAGTTTCAGTTCCTTCATTCACACAATCATCTGTCTTGATGTTCCATCCAGTTATTATATGAACAAATATGAATATGATCACGTGCTCTAATTATTTGCTTGATCTGAAAATATGATGAGCAACTGGTTTGATTACGTCTCTTCATTTTATTCATACTGTGATTTCACCAAAAATCCGTATTTTACCTCTGAGATCAAATTTACTTACACATTAATAAATCTGTTATCTTGACATAATTCAAAACAAATGCAATATACACATTAAAGTTACTACTACATTCTACATTGTTAACATGATTTGATGATTTGCTCAGCTTATGCATAATCAGTGAACGGTGTATTCGTATTCGATAATTTTGATGTTTGATGATATTTCCTTGAAGAAGCTTGGACTAGACTGTCGAGTGAATCGTTGGAATTATTTAAAATTCAGTTGCTGAGACTTAGAAATATAATTTTCCTCTTTAACTCGGCACCCGACTACTGTGAAACTATTCGTTCAAATTTAAACGAATATTCTTGTAAACTATTTCAATTCAGTTTTTTTGTTTACTTTAATCACGTCATGTATTTTAAGACGTCAATTTCAAAATTCAAAAGAAATTTATGTTATAGGTGCCTACGTTGAAGTTTACTAAATTAATAATTACCTATCATAACTTGAAACACCTTATACTGGATATCATTCTTTTATAATGAAGGTATGAGAAAATTTCATAATTTAAGTAGTCACAAATGGTACAAATTCAATAGCATTCAGGTATTTGAAGCCATTTGTGCTGGACGGAACTTTCAACAGCGATGAACAGTTAATCAAGTTAGAAAATACAAGTACAGACAGTAGGAATAAAAAGGAATTTGAAGTTGAGCTGTTTAAAATAAATCCGAATGTGGTGAGGCAATTGCGGGCATCGTTTGAGGCAGACTAAAAACGATCTCTTCATTAGTAAAATTCATATCAGTGAATGAGCTGGTACATTGCCAAGGATGAAACCAAAGCAGATGGTTTCGCTAAGAGGGTTATACTAAAGCCTGATTAACTACTGATCATAGGTTACTGTGCTTTAAACAACTGAATACATTCCAAAATAATAAAAGTACCTTAGAATTATTGGACCATCAGTTTCCTCTTCATATTTTTCATCACAAACTGGAACATCTGTTCTCACCGGGAATAATCTTGAATTTAACGTATAGTTTTGCACAAGTGTTGTTGGCGGTTTCAAGTTGCTGTCATTATGTGAAGAAATATTTGTTCTAATAGGAGGTAATGGTCGTACACGTTGTTTAAGATTTATGAAAGTAGACTTGTCATAATTGGTTCTTGAAGACGGTTTATGGAGGCTTAAAGTTAGAAAAAATTAGTATTTTTGAAATTTCATACGTTATAGCAAAATAAGTGATTAAACTGAAGCTGGAAATAAGATCATAATGAGCCTGTATTGAGACCTTCATTTAACCCGAAAATTTTCTGAAAAATCACAATAAACGACTTTACTCGGTCCCTATCCTCATAGAAAGAACATTATTTTGAAGATTCATCTTGATGCAACAGATGCCGAAATTGTGAAATAATGGAAAGCTTTCGATTTTATTCGTTAGAGTTTCGCGTCAAGCGCAATTCACTCCACATTTAAGTTACACAATTTTCCTGTCTCAGTTTGGTAGCTAGCATATCACTTCTAAGAAATGTCGGTGTTTGAGAGAAAACAATTTGACTGAGATACCTGATAATATAGACACTTTTGCCTGATAACACAAAATGATCCTTATTCCAAAAATTGGAAGAATAGTAAGTGTACACAGAAATCAAAATCAATCATGGACATGAAAGTTTCCAACAAGATTTGACTTCTTCGCTATATAATTTATTCACAGATCTATGATCAACAGCAACTAAAATTGTAAACCATTATTCGGTTAATAAATTTATGAAACAATATTTTGGATACAACCTTGTACGAATTGTTAGTATCGCAGAAATATTGCTTAACAATTACGTACCGGAAAAAAGGAAGTATAAAACTATTAGTAGTTTTGCAGGCTTTATAGTTACGGACGATAGGTTTAATTTCTTCATACACACTAAACTGACCAGTTTCTCAGTATCCTCCAATATATTTAATCGGCATTTTCGAATTAGTTATGTGAGTTAATTGTCTGGCCGACCAGTTCAAATATTACATTACAATAATAATCAAAAACAGTATCAACATTCGAAATGAGTGTTACATTTATGCATCCGCTAGTTACAATAAGATTTCAGTACTAAGCACCTCTTTCAGTAACACACGGTCACCTTTAAAGAACTAACAATCTTGTTCAATTTAATTTTCTACCTTTATTTCACTAAAGAAAAAAATTAGACAGATGTCAAAAGTTCGAATAAACAGGTTGGGTTAACATCATACATAACACTAACTTTAAAGGTTGTTGTGAACAGCAAATATCAGAATTTGTTTGACGAAATGCATCTAACCGATCAAATAATTCTTGTTGATTTAACCACTCTTCATTAACTGCATAGTGACTTGGTGATAGGATTTTTGGACGACCCGAATTGTTTGCACATACTGGCTTCATCTGGTTATCCACCATAGAGGCTATCCAATCATAACCTAGGAAATCTGTGGATGAATCTAATACAGCTCCATTGCTTTGTTGCTCAGCTGGATCTGTAGGACGCTATATTAAAACGGAGTAACATTAATTATTAACATTGATGACAATCCTATATATTGCCTCATGTAAATCAATGCTTTTTTGGTAACTCCTCATTATTTACAAAGCGTTCCAACGGACTTCATGCAGTAGCCGACTAGTTTTAGATAATGAACCAGTTTCAAACAATGTCTCAATGTCTTACTTCCGCCCAACATGAAGATTTTAAAGTTTCATTTTAAACTCTGCTATTATAAAATGAGGTTTCCTCTAGCTTACTGTGAAAGTAAGAGATCGATACGACAGATTTGATAAACTCTGATTTAATAATCAAATGAAGTAAAATAATATAAAAACATGAAATAAAAACAAGGAAACAGTTTGACCGCATTGTAATTAAATCTTTGATAGGTGAGTAAATACAAAGGTATTGGAAATGAATTTAAACCCACTAAATCCATTATACTGCAAGGTTTAAAGTTGTAATGCAACTAAATAAAAGTGATTATATTTGCTTGCAAGTAATTACGCACCATTCGTGCATTTTTTCACATACAGGTAGGAGTATGTACAAATTAGCTAATCCCAAACGAATAATTAATTTTAGGAGTGAAATATATGTAATGAAAACTAATATCTCAAACTCAAATAAAAGGCAGTTATCGGTTAAACAGTGAGAAACTGGAGTATGAAAAAATACTAAACTTACACACGAATTCAGAATTTTATTTTTATAGAGTGGTCGAATATTTGATACATCATCCAGCCTGATAAAATTACATTTTGCATTCATTAACTCAGGGGCTTTTTCAGCGTATGTCATTTTATCGTTGTTACATTACATGTAGTGCTCATCTTCGAAGGACTAACACATCCATCCGTAAAACATTATATATTATTTATGTCGAAATGAATTCTGTAAAAAATGAAAAATGTCTGAATAATAAGCAGTATTAGAAATATGAAGTAGGAAGAAAAGGGTCTCGTTTGTTCAGCCGTCAAATGAAAAAATAAAATTTTAAGGAGAAGCACTTTACATCAGATTCTATCTTGACACTAAAATCGATAAGTAAAACAATAGTATCTTGCAGACTGAGTTATCTGTTTTCATGTGTACTTACTAGTCCAAACGGTTTTGTGGAGTTAGTTATGTTACGATTACAAATAGACAAAGCATCATCGTGGTTCTGAATATCATCCCCTATTGGTAACCAAAAGATAAAACAAAGTAATAAGAAGCTCTAACGTGTCCTAGGGAGAAGCAGTGAATTTCAATAGCATCTACCGAACTGATAGATGCTATAAAACTCATCCCGCCTGGTTATGAATATGATAAGAAGCGTGGGCAGCTTGAGCGCAAGCTAACAAGGAGCCTATGCAATGATCGCGAAGCGCTGGGTAGCGAAAGCACAAGTGATAAAAAGGGCAGTGGCAATTGGTGACTGTAAACAACTATTCAGACTTATCAAGGAAATCGGTATTGGAAATCCAACTGTTAGCGAGACTATCTCGGAAAAGGATGGAACTATTATTCAATCTCATACCAATAGATTGGATCAATGGTTAGGAAGCAGTTCAGGTGGACTCCAGTTACACTTCAGTTATACACGATCTCCTGTCAACCTGAATGGCAAGTTGATGTAAGTCCACCGAGTCACTATGGGGTTGGAAAGGCTATAGGAAATCTGAAGCGAGGGAGTGCAGAAGGCCCTGATAAGTCAACCTCTGGGATTTTTATGGATGAAGTTTTACTTTCAGCGGTAAGATTGACAGAGATTTTAGGCAGAATCTAGGGACTGGATGTAATTCCATTTGACTGATCTGAATGACTAATTGCCCCGGTATATAACAAAGGAAGAAAGTCGTCCAATCAAAGAGGAATCAGTTTGACCATTAGTGTCTAAAATATTAGCCTTGATAATACTTCGACTCGCGAAGAACATTTTCGAGAACACCAGACTGGTTGAAGACCTGGACGTGGCTCTATAGGCCCTACACTCACACTACAACAGGTCGTAGGAGAAAGCCACACATATAGGCGTCTGGCAATAGTTATATTTTTCGATCTATGGCAGTGTCTGTCTTTAAAGGGTATACCAAACGAGTAAATAAATATTGCACATGCTTTCTCCTTGAGCACTAGTGGTGTGTTACGTATGCCCTATCACTGACTGGCTCGACGAGAGATGTCTGATGTAGGGTGGGCTGGAAAAATGCTAAGGATTGCTAAACTAAAACATGGAACAAATCCTTGAAGTCACTGACAACTGGATTGAGCCACGTAGATGTAGATTATCTGATTGGGGTCCGCAAGATAATCGTAACCGGTGGTTAGAGACTTTGAATGAAAATATCACTTGCGATGGCGCAGACACATTCATTCCTTTTCTTCTCTCAAATTCTTATCTTCTGAATTCCTCATGACCTTTCGTCTCACGTTAAATTTACCTCACTGGATAATACTTCTCGAATCGTATCCTCGATCCCCAATCTTTTCGATCACCTCTAATACTGCTTTAATCTCTACTACTTTGGGATTTGAACTGACAGTTCCACCTGTCTGTACTAATCCGGTATGGTAATTTGAACCGATGTACGTACGTACATACGAAGTTCTACGTTGTAGATGACTGACTAACCTGTCCCACCTGGTCGATATTGACCAGTATAACGACAAGACTCTAGCGTTTATATGTATGATCAAACTCCCACTGGATTTACCATGTATGAAAAAACCTTACGTACATAAACAGAAAGTCAGTCAGTTACGACACAACTTCGTGAGTACGTATATCAGTACACGTTGCCATACCACATTAGCACACAGAAGCAATTGTCAATTGAAGTCCCATAGTAGAAGTATTAGCAGTAATAGGAGAGATGAGGGTTTGGGGATATTATTCAAGAAGTAAAATCTAGTGAAATAAACTTAAAGAGAAAAGGATAAAGGTGATAAGTAATTCAGAAGGCTAGGATTTGACAGAACATAAAGAATAAATGCACTTGCGCCGTTGCAAACGGTTTTGAGCCGTCATTCACGGTCTCTAACCATCGATTACTATCATCTCGCGAGCCTCAACCAGGTAGTTTATACTTACCAACATGACTCAATCCAGTTGTCAGTGACTTCATGGATATGCGCCGTGTTTTGACACAGAACAGTTCTATACAGCCTCTGAATTTATCTTAGTCTCGTATGTAGATACTTTCATATATTGTTAGATTTTGCTACCTCATCTTGAAGTTTTTCGAGCTAAAATTTGAACGAAGTTCCGATTTTTAACTCCGACATGATTTTTATGACACATGTTAATGACTGCTTAACACTCATTTTACAGATAAAAGAAAAATTCTTGATGGTTAAGTGGATATGAAAATCCACCTCAGTTTTAATATTGATTTTGCGAACGTTATTAGCAATTGATTAATAAGCCGAAACACTGCTAGTTAAATGGTATCGATGTTTTGTAAAAAATAGTAAACACTAGTGCAACGCTGTAATGAAGAATCAGTTGAAAAAAGATATATCACCACAAGTGATCTTTTTAAATGAGGATGTAACCCAAACTTTTTCGCTCACTACCATATTACGATTCATATTTCATTACTTGAGACTGCCACATCACCTCCATTATTTAGATGAAATAAACAGGATTAATTGAGATTATTGTAAACAACCTTCCATTTAGTTAAATGAGCAAACTAATTTCAACCTATATGTAAATTATATATAACCTACTAAATAATGACACTGCACTTGCAAGCTGAACAATGAGAGCTCTAAAGACTTGATCAGCAACTCCTTGTTGAATAGTAGGGAAAGAATTTAACTGGCTTGGACCTGACTTCGACCAACATTTTGACTGGTCTAGGAAAACGTCCTGTAATAGTCATAACACAGCTGTCTGTACACATATGCATATGTGGGCATATACACAGGTATTTACCACCACCTAATTGACTAGTTATATGACTACGTAATATACCAAGTAACCATGAAGAATGTTGGAAAGGAAAACTGTCGGTGACTTCAGAATTCGATCGGACGTATCGCAATCGGCAGTGTTAATCTGACTTCATTGAGAGCTGGTGATATTCTCTGCAGTCATACATTAGGATCATCTGGCTATGATAATATAAAGTTGCCAAGCTATAAAAAGACGAACAATCAAGCCACAAAACAATGAACAGAATCCAACATTGGAAAAATGGAGGTATGGATGTGAACCTTGGAAAGCTCCCTATTCCCCCCACCACAAAGCTGAGTACAGAAGAGAATGAAAACAACCATCTTGGCTACATTTGTGAGGGAAAACTACTACTTAATGTTAATTTAAGTACTGGATCAGTCAGATTTCGGGAAATTTCCTCTTCGTCACGGAACAAAAAGTGAGAATCCCTGGTCCCAGATAACATGAGAAATTATTGCATTGTCGCCAACATTCATACCATGTTTTCCTGATGAATGTTGCCCGATACATCCTAAAAATTTGCATCAATCGTCTTCTTCGAAGTTTGCATGTGTAAACATGAATGCCGACATAGCTTAAGTTTACTAACGAGAAAAATTTATTTGATTTCAAAATTCATGTCGCTGGGAACTGGGGGCAGCTTAGACTTATGTTGCACACTAAAGGGAGAGTGTGAACGGTAGTATGCAGTTGTCTGGGATATAAAACAATTCAAGTGAAATCGAACACACGACACAGCAAGTACAATGTTTGAATTCGAGTCCCATATGTAAACTAATCAGAAGTAATTGGCAAAAGCACAAACACGTGATTACGGCAACAGACCTTTGAAATTACTCAAAATCGCCATTTCTCAACGCACCTGGTAAACATGGCAACGCTCGGGTCCGTGAAAAGGCATATAAGTAAAACAAGCCTACGCGTATGAAATAAAGCATAATGGAAAGCATTATAGGTCAATGCTAATTGATTGCAACTTAGAAATCCACAAAAATTACAACTATACTTCTGTCTACCAGCATGACCAGGACATCACGAAAACAATACCTTCTAAGCAGGTTACTCTGTTATCATTTCGGAGAATTATTGTGAGACTAGAGCTTATAAGCAAACCAGTCACATTTGAGACAGAAGGTCCTCGTTTTGTTCATCCGTCAGTTAGTGATTAGAACCAAAAACACTAATTCCTAGCCCTGCCAACCAAATCCGAATTCTATTACCAATTCCTCAAAACAATTTGCAGATCTCTTTTAGCCTTGGTAAATAAGTGAATATTCTCAAGGGTAAGTATATGCCGTTTAAATATCGTCCACAAATCCTAAATGCCAGTTTAATGACTACATGATACAACAGCCGCAGTGTGTACGTATATCATGACTCCACAAATCTAGCCATCACACAAATGGAGCGTTTAATGTAAGTTACTACCAATTTCCAGGATGACCACCATAAAGTTTGATAAATACTTAAACAGCTTTGTTCTTGGACGTATCTTTAAATAATTAAGTAAAGTAAAGTGTATGGTAGCCATCAAAATGAAATATATACCGTTGTATTGAAACGACCCACCTGAAATTGTCAAAAGTAATACTGGACTAACAGCAGAATTAGATATTTCAATACTTGTATCGAGTTGATGATGAAGCTAACATCGAAACCGCTAGCAACCGTATGTAAACAAAAATAACATTGGCAACACGATATCCAGCAACTCTATCATTGTAATAAAAATCCAGATTGATTTAATGTACATTATAATGTTCGAGGGTCTGTCAGTGTCTCAGGTATTTAAAGAGTGATGGAACTTTAAAATAAGATGAACAGCCAAACAGATACATAAACAAACTTCATACTGGCCTTCTTAAAGGTTGAAGATGGAGAATTTAGTTGTCATATAAGTTTTCGAAAGAATATGAAGGTGGTATATTGACAGCCGGCTTGATTCCATACTAAATTGTCTATGATAACCATCTGATTGGTAATTACAACTTCCCTGATCAAATGCAACGTGTCAGTGTCATGTTTTTGAGTTAGTGGATCATATTCGTTTTCGATTGATCTAAGGTGGATAAAACGTAATAGTAGCATATTTATTCTCGAATTACAGAATGTTACGATTGATACGCCATTTTATGGGCTAGATTGAATTGTAAAAAACGCTACCGAATAGACCGTAAAAATTAGCAGAGTTAGATTCGAAATAAGAGTTTATCTCTGATAGCAAATTTACACTATGTCACTGAGAGGAACAGATTTATACAGCCATTTCAACGACGAAATAAACCGAAGACAGAGGAAGGATACCTTCTCTTGTTACTGAGGTCGCGAACACTAGCGGAACAACAAAGCATCGAGTATGCCATCGTTCTCACTGACAGCAGCTATCATCAGCAAATAACGTTGAAGTGGACGAAATGTATCGAAACCGCTTGTCACTTTGTACCTTATTAAAAAATTCAGATATGAGGGGTTTTTAATGGTAAACCCAAACCACTTGAGTCTTATGTAGATGTCGGATTCTCCCAATGATAGATGGAAGGTACTCAAAACAAAGACCTAGTACGTATATTTGAATACTTTGAGTATGGTGTCTTATGAAAAAAAGGAAAAAGGATATCACATGACGGAAGATACACCTTTTTGAAAGTAAATAAAAATATGAAAACACGAGAGTACGTCACTAACTAACAAGAACAGAAATGCATTTCATTTACTTTATCTCCGTTCGAGGTCTTCAAGTTTTCTCATCAAGTAATCCTGTCAATCATTTGCACTGGTCTCAAAAGTTTACAAAGTTATTTTCACAGATTTCTTCAGTGCATTGGCTAAAAACTCATAGGAGTTGATCGCTACAGTATGTTATTGATATTTTTGTAAAACTATGTCCGCCCATATTGTATTCAAACACACATATCACTTTCTGCCTTAAGGCGTACTAGTATCTAAGCCAGTCCGAAACAAATTTTGGTGAATAGAAAGTTAAGGAAACCACTTATAACACTTAGGCCTTCGATGTCTTACCGAAAGTTTTATACAGTGAGATTTGTGCATATGGTGGTGTTATGAAGCTTGCACATTTCTAACGCCTACGGCTTCCGAATGATTCGGCGAAAGAGAATGCTTCTGGATGAGCCATCTAGTTATGTTTGGATGATATGATTCAGCAATCCCATGCCATTGCAGCCGTGAATGCTGCCGAAAGGCATTTTAGCTAGTGATATTGAGATATTCAAAATTATAGGTACTCTATCGAGACATAAGTCACTATACAAACATTACAATCATGCTCATGGCCGAATGACTTGGATGGGCCTAAAGAGAAAGTACCGACTAATAATACTATTCTTAATTGCCCACAAAGTTGTATCATCCGCCGATCTTATAGAAAAGCCAGGGGCCTAGAAATAAACAGAACCAAGGTTAGATGGTGGCGAAAAAGATATTAGAGTTGCAAATTTTCTTGTTGTCAGGCTTCGACGGAAAACAAGTGGTCAGTGACTGGAACCCCTTACCTTAACAGGTAGTATCAGTCCCAAAGGTGAAAACTTTCGAGGAAAATCTGGAGTTGCACTAAAAGACAATCTAGACCAGTCAGAACGACTAGAAGCGCACACTTCGAAACTGACGTGTCCTCCTTGACTTCCCATTATTTACAGGAAACAACCTAGTTTTCGACATCTGAAGGCAACACTTGAATGTTTTAACTTTTTTCACTCCATTTATCTTTCTCCTTCTTCGATCCTTTCACCTGTGGTCAAAGCTATATAAGTCCGTCTGCAATCGGAATTCCAGTGATACAGATCTGGACTATTCGCAAACAGATACATTCATTTCCTCGGATGAAGATAATCAGACTGAGCAGCCACAAACCACCTGTAGGAAGTCTGCTAATAATCCCATTATCTTTAACAGCTACGGATTCAACACCGATACTTTAGCCAATTATAATTCTACGGACAGTGAACTTATCGTCTACCAAACCATTAACCATTTACTACCTTAAAAATATCTGATCAGTGTTTCAGAAAATCGTGATCTTGAAATTATAAAAGGAACTGAAATGGTAATTAACCATATATCCTCTGAAGTGTTAAAAAGCTTCAGCGAATGAAAAATGCCATTAAGTATAACATACTTGACAGTGCAAACCTAGTCTATTAAAACATTTTACTAAAAGAGTGTGGATCGTCCCACTCCTGAAGAGTAGCACACCCACAATAATCAACCAACTTAATGAGCAACAATGCCTGCCTACTCCTACACAGGACAACATTAAGCTTCTAAAACCAAACGCTAGGATGCCTAAGAGTTAAGATACTCACACCACAAACAACTCCCTTAACTACAACCTTAGGCACATTTTCATTCCAACCTAAAGCCAACTATCTATTTAATAATGATAATAGTAATAATAATTGCGCACAAAACGTCTTGAATGCAAAGCGTTGCTCAGAAACCCCACAACGTTAGCCTGATTTGGCATTAGCCTAATGTTTCTAAGCACCATCCTGGCGGGAATATCTTTTACAATTCTCAGGTCACACCTTCTAACACTTACTCCATCAGCAGAGTTGCTTTGCTATCTACAATTGTTGAGGGCGACAGTCCCATCTTCTTCAAGTCATCCTCTACATACTGTGATGTAATGGATGATAATCAATCTTTGTCGCAATCATCTCCTTCTAGTTGTAATTCTTTTATGTCTTGTCCTTCTCACCATCCACCTTACACATCGTTCACCGACTTGATTTCTCTACCCAACCTAATATAATGGATCTTCGAAATTATCCAACCTTATCCTCTCAAGAGACTTTACCATCCATTCTTCGAGGATCATCGATTAACCTTGAAAACCGATATCTACCATATTCTACCTCCCATGCTTCTTTCACTACATCAATCTCTGAACACCTCTCTCCCACTAACTATATTCTCCAAAAATCAATTGATCATAGCTATCAAGCCTGTATTCCTACTTCATTACCTCCTTCAAATTACACAACAAACAACCTACCTGATACCCTTCATGCCCCACTAAAAATAGGTAGTCACACTATGTCATCTTAATGCTAATTAATTCCCTATCTGTAATCAATAAGATGACCCACTTACGCTCCCTGGTAGTTTTAAACAACCCTTCACTTGTCCCATTTGCTGAAAGTTCGTTTTCCTCCTATTTTCTAGGCTCATACCTTCTGAAAGACTCTCATGAATTATTTCGTGGTGGTAGAGGCTCTAAAAGGGGTTGTACATGTCTCATCTATGTATCTAAAAGCATTAAAGTGGAACTGCTCTTAGTACAGTGCTTGATTTGATATGGCTCACTGTGCATGCCCATGAATGTAAAATAATGACTGGATGTATAAACCGAGCTCTAAACATTCATCGATGAGTCGTTTGCTAGAACTGCCTCTGCTAAATTCATCAGAAAAATTATTTTGGTGACTTCAACTTCCCTGGAATCAACTAACAGTCACATTACGGTCCACATCTCTTTAAAATCATACTTAGTCCTTTAGATACGCATGGTCGGCAACACCAGCTTGCAAGACACTGTTGTTCTAATTATCGGTTTTAGTGTGAAGATAGAATCTGATGTAAAAGGCTTCTCCTTAAAATTTGATAAGCAATTTGGAAATACTGAGTGGTAGGCTCAGCTTTCCCGATTAACCCTTCTAGTTGCTTCGATAGCATACAAACAATAATTTACTCACAAATACAGGTGTGGGATTGTGAGTGGATCATCGCAAAGTTTCTTGCTAAGACAACCGAAGGTAACGTCGCCATCTCGGTGTCTTTCTGGTTCTATTCTTGCCTATTATGTATTAGCTTTTTTTCCGTTTCATTTTATTTCGTGCTCTTTTGAATCCATTAAGTTAA